AATGTTTTGAGAATGATGAGGGCAATGAATGTACAAATGCGCTTTACACAATTGATGTATGTATGGATTGTGATAAGAGTTGTATGAGCCCCCAATAAAATGATTAAAAAAGAAGAAGAAGAAGAAAGCCAGTGGCCAACTAAGAAACAGACCATCAGTTGCGCATATGCAAGGTCAAGCTGAAGCTGAACAAAATTAAAACAAGTCCATGCAGCCATGGTAAGATCGTCAGTATATTCCACCTGAATTTAAAAATCATCTCAAGAATAGTATGGGCACATTGAACACTAATAACTGACTAGTTGCAGGACAGTCTCAAGAACATCCTGCGTTAATGTATTTACCCGTGATGCAAATATATCCCTGAAGGCTATACCACGTAGATAAACGGAACTGGGATTGGGATGATTAATATCTATTGAATCTCACAGGGAACAAGCATTTCTTTTCCTGGAGGAGCTGTGCCTCGTAAACCTTTCAAATTAGCATTTTAAAGCTGACTGGCAGTCTATTAGGAAGAATATTATATACAATAATCCCAGATATTGTTAATTCTAAGAAACCCTTTTCCAAGATGAAAAGAGATCACAAAACTGTGCTAACTACATTACACACTCTTTTGTTTGTCAAGTCTATTTAGTAAGTAGAAAATATTACCAGAGTCCAAGTAAAACAGCGGATAATCAAAATAATCTTTTGAGAAACGAGGCAGTCCAGGATCTTGGTAGCATACTTCTTCTGGTTGTGCATACGTTATAAAATAGAAAAAGCCTGTACACAGAAGAGGCACTAGAAGATGTAACTACAAAACTGGAAGAATGTCAGTAATTATTTAAAAGGATAAAAAATGTAATTAACATTTGAAAAATACATATTCATATATTTCATACTCTCTATAAATGCTTTTATTGCAGACCAACCATGTGATGGTAATGAATAGATTTTAAAACAATGGGTCAGAAATTTCATTAAAGACTCACTTCAGAAACCTACCCATCTTAAGATAGAATTGATTCTTGAGGTTATGCGTCTATTAACTAAAAGAAAAAAGAAAAAAACAAACCATGTCATCAAGTCAATCCCAACTCATGGCAACCCATATACTTCAGAATAGAATTGCGCTCCACAGGATTTTCTTGACTATAATATTTTGGAAGCAACTCAACCAGGATTGGATAGTAACTGCCAATCTTTCAGGTACTAATCTACAGTAAAACGTTTGTGTCACCCAGGGACTTTCTGTGTCTCTTAGAGGACAGACATCAGTATGTGTCATATTACAGCATGTGTCACCATCGTGGGAAGCAGGCAGAGAGGAGATGGTTTTATAATTCCAAATCAAATAGTACATCAGCGGGGGTTTTAGATGGCAGAAAGTAAGCAAAACCAAACCATGAATGTTTTGCTAGCAAAATAAAGCAAAAAGTTGGATGATGCTAATGCAGACAGAGAGCCATCTTTACAATTCTATTCTACGTAAAATAAAAAACGAAGAGTTGCCACTTTGTCGTTTTAAAGATTGTTTTAAAAGATACTACCAGAAAAAAAATCGGTTCCTCTTCAAGTTCTTCCCCTCACAATGGCCATCTCCACCCTGAAATTAGAGAGCAAGCTAGTGAGCACAGGAAGAGAATGTAAACAAATGCTGTCAAAAACTTGCGCTGCATTAATGCTCAATTATACATAAACACATAAGTGACAAACATTCTCTTCAAGTCAAAAAATTTGCTTCAATATTTTGCTCAATTCCATCCTTTAAAAAATTATCATGTAGTGCCTGGCTATCAAAAGATATACCATCAGAGGGGGAGGAGGGGGGAAGGGAAGAAGAGGGGATAACAAACACAGGGACAAGGGAACAACA